CATTCTATGATTCTATGATTCTATGGTCATAGCAATTCACTTTATTAGGCGGCCTGTAAGAATTCAGAAATCCTGACAGCAGTTTATAGGGCTTTAGTTAAATGACTACAGTGCCATGCACCATGCAGTGATACAGGATATATTAATTTCTGCAGTTACTGAAAGATTATAATGTCATGATACAGATCACAGCAGTTTTAATTTTTAGTCTTGCTAACTGTATATTGACCATAGACAACATAAGGTTTGTATAAAGTACTCCTGCTCATATAAAAATCCACTGAAACTAGGTATTAGACTTCATTAACTTTTGGTTTTAAAATGTATTAATACTATTTTCCTTTCTTCTTTGCAGTAGCTGAACAGTTGGTTTCCTTTAGTTACTGTGACTCATGGCAACAGTGGAAATCCAGCTTTACAGATGGATGAGAAAAATAGGAGCAATTAAAATGAAGAACGCTGAATATTTTCTAAAATAGTCCGCACCAAATTTAGAGGTATGTTTCAGTAAAGCAAAGCCTCCCCAAATAAAGACAATACTATTAGGAGTCTTATACTTGACTCAAGTTAGAATAGAATTTTACTTCTCATCTCTTATTTGCAGATAACATTTGTCTGTACTAGCTGATGATCCACATCTCTTAGACATTGCTCACAAGGAACTTTTGGTAAATGTTACTCTGAGTGCTGCAGATTTTAAGCAACTGGTTCTAAAACCATATTTAGAAGCATGGAGTTGGCACACTGTCTGTGGATTGGGTTGGGATCTTTGCCATGTTGGCAAGTATCAGTTTTCAGATCAGTTGGGAATTAGAAGTCAGCTCATTAAATATATGCTCAAAAGTAATACACACTCACATACACATACTTGCATATATATATATACGTGAATACATACACACACACATGTAGGTAGGCCTCTGTTCAAACACTGAGGGAATTTAAGGGATGAGCCCTGCAATGACCACAGAGGTACAAACACACTTGCCTAGTTTCCCACTGACACTATGAAGCCTACAAAGGACGGTGATTGCCAGCACAGGCCAGGTAAGAGACTCCCATAGGCATGTGCTGGGGACAACTTTATCAAGAACAAGGTGTGCTTCTGCTTAAGACTAGAATGATGTCCACTCCAAACTAAGCCCGGGAGTACTGTACAGAGACACCTGAGTGAGAATCATTAGTCACTTTGCCTCTCATGTGCCTCCCCACAATAGCTACCTTCTCAATAGCTTCTAGAACCTCTCTGATACCAGGAAGTAAACACCAATTTTTATTCCAGCCCTTCTCATCATTCCCTGTACCAGAGAGAAGAGAGGGAAGAAGGGCTAGATTGTCTTGTAGCTCACTTCATTGCGGACTAAGAGCCAAGCTGACTTTGCATGAGCACAGAGGTACCTATAAATATCAATTCTGGTACCTAAAGACATGCACAGATTTCAGGAAACCTGGAGAGATCAGACACGTATGCCTACTCTCCTGCTTCGCCATACTAAAGAATATGGCTGTGTGCAATTCTTCTAATTTGTATTGGGCTAAAACACAGAAAAGAACCGCTACCAGTCATGGGCAATCCCTACCCTTATTCTTTACCATACCACAAAGCCTCCCTCCACATTCTCTGGCAAAGGGGAAAAAGTAAATCGAGAACCTGTTTATCCTAAATCTATTATCATTTTCGCACAACATGCCCTCTCTCAGCACTGCCTTAGCTTTCAAGGCTCAGAGAACCACTACATCTGTAAGAGTCAGAATTAAACCCATTGAATCAAATTCTCAAAGGCCTCACCGTAACTTGCAGAAGTAACTCACATATATAAAATCAGCCAATAGTTGTCTTATCTTCCCCCCATTCCTCCCTCCTCCCCTCACAGCATTTGTTCTCACAAATACAGAGACATTAAATAGGACAGCATACTTACAGCCAGATACATAGCTGCATATACGCTTAGTGCTGCTTCTTTGGATGGGAATGTCTTTCTGGCTTTCATGATAAGGTCTGGATTTCCAGTACAGGCATGTACGCTACTGATGAACTGTGTATACTGTTTACATCCAAGTGCTGTATAGTTGGGTTTACAAAGTGCAAGAAAATGTGGTGCGAGATTCCCTGTTACTACTTGTCCAGCATTTACAAAGATGTCCGTAGCAAACAGTCCAAATGCGTAAATTCCTAAAGAGCGAAACAAAAGAGTTAAATTTCCTTATAATTTCACTCCAAGGCAACATAATTTAGTATTTATAGGAATATACCAGCTCCTTCCAGTTAAGAACACGAAAATCCCTCACATATCTTGTACACTGAATAATCTGACTCGCATTGGAGATGGTACATTCCTACACAACCGCAGCAGCAACACTGCAACTTACCCGCACACTTCATTTCTCTCCATCCCTTGGAGGAGCATGCTCACCCGTTGTGCAAGCAGTTCACCTTCCTAGGCCCCCTAGCCATCAATCTGCACTGTTTGGGGTAGCTAGCTATACTGCTACCTAACTTCTGCCCGTATTCACTAAACAGAAGCAACAGAGGCAAATTCTTCACCCTATAAATCTGCTTGAGAACCAAGGAAGTTAGGCCCTGATGGTAAAGTAGCTTGAAAAGTCATTAACACGTACTGGACAAACATTTTCCTTTTCCTCACAGCTGTAAAGAAGCTGAAGTACTGAATAATTCAATATTGCCATGCACAAGTTGTCTGCATCTGCCTGCTACAGGGTACATCTCTATGCATGGCATCTTAATCACAATATCAACACAGTGAGCCAAAGATCTGTATTTCTGAGGAGCTACTTATGCTAAAGAGGTTTTTTTGGCAGACATTTCAGCAAAGCATTGAGCACCTGTACCCGTTCATTAGAACGGAAATGCATGTATCCGATTGCTTAGAAGAAAACATATTTCTGCTGTTCTCAGGTCCCTTTCTATCCTTTTGGAAGCAGAAAATGAGCTCTGGAAGGAAATGCAAACACAGCACCCTGACTGGGAGGTAAAGCCAGCAGGTGTGTGTTCAGATTCCACCTGAGCTACAGATTTCCTCCTGCGTTTCCATAGGCAAATCACCATACCTTCCCCATATTGCAACTGAATATAGTACGAGTCCTGGCAGTTCCCAACTTCATGGGGCACCACAAGGACAGATGTACACTCCAACAGACATTGTCCCACAGGAACATGGGCATTTTCCCCTCAGCAAAGCTAGAGGACCAAGGATGATTTCTGGAATCCTGGCTGGTCAGCAGCATTATAGTAACATTAATTCACCCTGAGCTGCTAGACACTGGTGAGCAGCCAACTGTGCCTTGCCGAGTCGCTGCACAGAAGGGCCCTTTCAGTGAGCCCCGAGGGTGCGCGCTGCTCCAGCATAGGTGGTTGCATCACTTCATGTGAGCTAACGGATAGTGATGCCTCATCTGTAGGACAGTGCAGAGGCCGTTGCTAATCCCTTCCCTCCTCCATAATTTTGGTTTTTTTGCTTCTGTGAACAAGGAGGGCCCACCAAGAGGGAAGGCAACACGGACACTGACTACACACAGAGCAATTGGAGCGGGAGAAGCTCATCATCATGACTCCCCGTCTCCCCTGGACCTATGCAAGACAGTCTCATTCTTAATAACTTCTAGCACTCTAGTGTGACAGTGAGCAATCACACTCTTGGAAGGCAGACACGGCTGCTAGACAACCGCTGCAAATACAGACACAGCTGCACTTCCCCTCCCTTCCCCTGTGACTGGGGCAGAAGGATTAGCTGCCCCAGGGCTTCATTCCTCCAGCTGTTTCTTCTAGCCACAACTGTGGCTGAGAAGCAAACAACAGAATTGAGTCCTGCTACAGCATCCCTGCTTGTACGAAAAAGCAGCATCTGGGAATACTCAAAAGACATTTTGAGTTGTGGTACTTCTCCCTCCAACACAATTACAATGAACTAAGTATAAAATATGACATCTCATATCTACCCAAGTCAGTGGAAGAGTCACAGCTGACTTTTGTGGAGCACGGATTTTGTAGTTTTCTACTAGAGACCATAATACAATCTCCAGGCTAAGAAAGTACCCAGATTGGGCTTGGCTTCAAACACGCATTCATATCCAATGTCTTCAATTTTGGCTGCTATGTGTGTGTGTAACTAGAAGAAAATTATCAGCTATACTTATTGTTGTGCCATATCTCCTTTCTTCACTTCAGGGACTGCTGGTTGTTTTTTTCCCCTTGTGGTCCTTTTTTTTTTTTTTTCCTATTTTTACTGCAGTTTCTGTAACTATTTTTTTTACCCAAACTTCCAAGAAGCTGTATTTGCTACTAAAAAGGAGAGAACTCACTGCATCTGGGTTAGGACTACACAGGAAATGTTGTATTTTTATCTGATTGTTTTCCCCAGGCCAAAATTAAGACATAATTGAATGCTCTCACCATTCAAAAATGAAATTATTAATTTTGCTCATACCAAGGAATCTGATGGTCCTGCGCACCAGTGGATTTATATAACAACAGTCTCCAGTTAATAGTGTTTTTTCTTGGTTTTCAAAATCCTTTGTAGCTAATTGTAGACAAAACACTGCAGTTTCTCCAACGATAATCT